AAACAGCTTTACTGGGCTATAATTTGCACACAATAAATTGCACATGTTTAAAATGTACAGCTTGGGCTAGGTGTGTAGATCCACTGATCCACTGATCTGGCAGAGCTAACATGTGCAAGGCTCTTGGTTTGATTTCCAGCATTGTAAAAATAAATAAAATAAAATGTGCAACTTGATATTTTGATACATGTATGCATCCATAAACCCACCACAATCCAGATAATGAACACATTCATCACCCTCACAAGTTTTCTAGGATCCATTTGTAAGCTTCCTGCTTCCCAGCCTTGTTCTTTTATCCTTCAAAAGGAACCATTGATCTGGTCTTCCTTTTCTAGAATTTTATGTAAAGATAGTGTGTATTCTTTTCTTTTCTTCTTGAGGTGGGGTCCCATGACACCGCTGGGCTCAATTTCCTGGACCCAAGCAATCTTCCTCTCAGACTCTCAAACAGCTGGGACGACAGGCAGATACCACCACCACACGTAGCTGTATTCTTTTTTTACTCAGTATAATTGAGATTATCCATTTTTGTTTGTAGCTCTATATTTACTGCCTTTTATTTTATGGCAAAAAAATTTGTTTATTCATTTATCTATTGATGGAAATTTTCATTGTTTCTAGTTTTAATAAATTTAAATAAAGATACTATAAATAGCCACATATAAGTCTTTGTGTGCCCAGATATTTTCATTTTATTTGAGTAAATATCTAGTGGTGAGATACTAGATCATATGATATGGTATGTGTATGTTTAAATTTTTGTTTGTCTATTGAGACAGTGGCTAGCTGTATAGTTCAGGCTGGCCTTGTACTCATGGCAATCCTTCTGCCTCAGCCTCCCTTTGCTGGGATTATAGGTCTGTACCACCACACCTGGCTAGTATGTTCAATTTTAAGGGCCCTACCAGACTATTTTCCACAAAGGTTATACCATTTTATATTTTAGCCAGATGTGGATGAGAATTCCAGTTACTCTACATCCTGTCCAATATTTGCTATTTGCTATAGTCTTTTTTAATATTAGATGTTCTTTTGTTCTTGGTTTTTTGAGCCAGGGTCTTGCTATGTAGTTCAGGCTGGCCTTGAAGTCACTGTATGCCCAGGGTGACCAGGAACTCATGAAGATCCACCAGCCTCAGACTGGATGCAGCACACATCCAGCTTTTTTAATTTTAAAAACATTTATAGTGAAAAGTCTCATTCCCACACATCAACACTCCCACTTGAGCCTACTTTTATAGATATTTTGTGTGTGCTTCTAAAATTTCTTTACACACATATTAATGAATATTCTTCATTTTCTTGTTTTTTGTTATAAAAAGCATCACACTTAGCACACTGTTCTGAATCTTTCTCTTTTTCATTTCAAAAATGTCTTGGGTTGGTTGTGGTGGTGCACATCTGTAACCCTGAGCATGCAAATGGGGCAGAAGTTCATGGCCAGCCTTACTCTATAGTGAGACCCTGTCTCAAAATAAATAAATAAAAATCCTGGACTCTTTGTTAAAATCACACAGTATTTCATTGTACATGCTAAGCTTTCTTTTACTAGCTTTTAATCGTTCGTTAGTATTAATAAGGCTACAACAGGGTCCTTTTACATACAATGGTTCTCTTGAGTGTAAATAAATCTGTCGGAATGATTCCCAGAAGAAGGAATAGTATGTTTACAATTTTGATAGCTTTTGCCAAATTTATTTCATAGGAGTTGCCAAATATATTGGATAGGAGTTGTATTGATTTATACTCCCACCATCAATAAATTAGAATGTCTGTTTATCCACATCCAGGCAAGAAATGTTAGCAAACATTTGGATTTTTTCCAGTCTGATAATGGTATCTGTGTGATTTTAATCTGCTACCTTATTATGACTGAAGCTGAATATTACCTTATGCATTGGGGGTAATTTGTTTTTCCTTTGCTATGAACTGTCTGGGAATGTCATTTGCTATTTTTTGTAATGTTGATTCTTTCTTTCTTTCTTTCTTTCTTTCTTTCTTTCTTTCTTTCTTTCCTTCTTTCTTTCTTTCTTTCTTCCTTCCTTCCTGCCTTCCTTCCTTCCTTTCTGAGACAGGGTCTCACTGTGTAGCTCAGACTGGCCTTGAACTTACTATGTAGCCCAGCAATCCTCCAGCCTCAGCTTTCTGAGTTCTGGGATTACAAGCATGTGCTACCATCCCCAGCCCTAGATTACCCACCGTGTAGACACCCCCAAGACCCTGTAAATGTATTCAGCCCACATTCATAATGTGTCTCACTTCACCAAGCACCTGGACTCTGCTCTTGAGTATATACTGCAATTTCTACCTAATAAACCTTTCTTTTGCCTTTTAAAGATGTGTTCTGAAAATTCTTTTTTGTGACGGGAATCCAGGTTTAGGTGGAATCCTCATCTCAGCGTTGGAAACCTCGTTAGCCCTAACTGGCGACAATGGGGACCTCTTCTCCTGCCCTTCCTTTCTGCAGGCTCCCTGTCTTCTCTTGGCCTGCACATCAGCTGTCCCCATCCCAGGAGCCCTTTCAATTGTTTAACTTACATTCAACCTTTATCTGCATCTCAGATATCATCTTCACTCCTGTTTCCCCCGTACCTGACACATAGTACATGCACAGTACATTCTTGACAAATTAACACAAGAAAGAGTACTTTATAAACGACTAAACAAACATCTTCATCTCATTGGGGTACCCATGAGAACGAGGAAAATGCTTCTACCCAAAAAAGTAGTCAGTTTTTCCTTAATTCCACCCACTAGAGAAAGCAGTGGCCTTCAGAATCTTAGTAAACTCACTCAGGTCCCAGGGCAATAGGCGAAGCACCCGACACTGCCAGAGAGGCTTGTGTTATTTGTTGGGGCACAATTATAATGTAAGAACATGTTTTAAAAATAGCAATGTCATAGATACTTCATGATACAAATTAGAAATCTGTCCTAGTTTCTGCTCCTGAATTCAGTTGACCTTGACAATGTCTAAATCCCAGCTGCATCCCTCTGATAAGCACTGAGTCAGAGTAAATTGTCTATACCTGAAGGAACCCTGGTCTAGTCAAGGGCACCTTGTAAGGGACTCCTTCCCTTGTTCCCAGAATATTTCTGTATTTCAATAAACAATTCCTTTATTTCAATAAATCTGTTAAAGACTAGCCTGCCTATTAATATATGACTCAATACATCTAACCAATTATGTAACATTTTGTCACTTGATTTGTACCTCCCACTTCTAAATTCTATATCAAATAAGCTCTCTGTAAACTCAGTACTGTTGCCTTTGAGGAACTATCCTGAAACAGCTTGCTGGTATGAAGATTAAACCCTGCCTTCTTATCTCCTCCATGCAGAGTCTTCCTTTCAGTTTGGTTTGATTTGGGAATTTTCCTGCAAGGTATTGAGGTGGAAAAAATAAAAACTAGTGAGAAAGGAGACATGGAAATTGAAATTTTTAAATTGCACTTACCTGAAGCTTCAAGACACAAAAGTTACTCAAGGCTTTTTCCCTTTCTGTAAACTCACTTGAAAAAAAAATTTTCCCTAAAGGTCTTTTATTTTACTTTATTTCATTTTAATTTTTGAGACAGGGTCTCACTATGTAGTCCAGGCTAGCTTTGAGCTCCCTACGTAGCGCAGGCTGGCCTCAAACTTGTGGCAATCCTTCTGCCCCAGCCTAAATGCTGGGATTATATGCATGGGCCATCACACTCAGCTAGATCAATCACCCATCTTGAAGAAAACCCTTAAATACACCCAACTCTGGTTCCTAATGTGCCTCCTCTCATTTCTGAGCCCCTGCACTCTCCTGTTGAGTGTGTCCTAAAATATCTGTCTAATGAAACCTTCTCGTGTCTCTCTCTTACTAATGCATCCTGAAAATTCTTTCTCCACAACAGGAATCAGTGAACCTGAAACTTACTCTACAAGGGTGGGATAGGTTCCTCAGGACAACCTTGGGGACCCTCAGACCCAGCCTGGAGATAGCATGAGAAGATCTGGTCAGATCTCTGGCTGCCAAGGGTTCATCCTTTAATCAGTGGGCCAGGAGAGGTTTGGTAAGGACCCTCCAGTAAACGTATTTAAATTTCTAACAGTAGGGGCCCAGAATTTGCAAGCTGATTTTCAGCTCTGTCTACTTCTCTTTCCCCACTCCTATAGTCTTTTCCTCCCCCAACACAGGGTTTGGATCTAGAGCCAAAGGTGACACACAAGAATCTGTGACGTCTTTGGCAGATGACAAAACTTGAGAGGCAACAGGTTAGAAACAATGAGTGAGGTGAGGATGTGTAAGGGTGGAACACTTGCCTGGCACATGTGAGGGGCTACGATCCCTCTCCACCCAGCGCCTTATTTTATTTGGTTCCAGTAATCGAACTCAGGACCTTGCGCCTGCCAGGCATGCATGTGCTGTGCCACTGAGCTACATCCCTGGCATGCCCCTCCATCCCCCCAGCACCATAAGAACAAAATAGTGGCCTCTGCACTTCAATTCTGGCTCTACAACTGTATGTTTAGGTCAGCTACTTAACCTGCCTGAGCTTCCTGCTTACCCGCACCTTTCTGAGTCTGCTGTAGACATTAACTTGATAGCCCAGGTGCAACATTGGCCTCACCTTTGTAAGGAATAAGTGAGAGCCACACAGGTGAGGAGCAAGGTCTGTGATTGTCTAGTGAGGAAGGCTACCCGGACCCGCCTGGCCTCTGCCCACTGCAGCTCCATCTGGCTCACCTAGCACAGCTCTTCAGTCCCAGCAGAGCAGAGCCAGTGGGCTGCTTCGGGGACTGCTATTCTGTCTCTGGGTGCTGAGCCAGCGGCACTCTCGTCGCGTTTGGTTTAATAAATCCGTGAAACGAACTAAGCAGACCGAACCAAACCACACCAAAACACAACTGGTTTTTTCCCTCTTGTAGACAGAATCTCATTATTTTGCCCGGCTGGCTTTGAACTCCTGACTCACATCATCCTCTCTACCTGTTGCTCGGGTCCAAAAACACTGGAGACGTGGTAAAAGGGAAAAAGGTTTTATTCCAAGCTGGCTCCTAGGAGACAGAGGAGCCTGGCATCACCTCCAGTCACCTTCTCCTGTGCTCAAGTGCACAAAGGCCGTGTTCAAGGGGACAAGGAACAGTTGGGAGAGGAATCAAATGGAACAATAGACAAGGAGACCTCTGCACTGTTCCATCCCAGGCCATTCTGGGCTTCTTCCCAACCAGCTCCTTCTCTCCTTGTGGAAATGAAACCCAGCCCAAACCTTCTGGGGTCCCAGCATCGGCATACTCTGCCAGTTCATCTGCGCTCAGGAGAGGAGGGGTGCTGGTGGTTACACCCTGTGCATGTCGAAGCTCGGAGAAGTAACTCAATTTTTTTTTTCAGTACTAGGGATTGAAGCCAGGACCTTCATGCTGAATTACATCCCCAGCCCTTTTCACTATTATTATTGTTGTTGTTGTTGTTATTTCAAGACAGGGTATCACTAAATTCCCTTAGCCACCCAGAGTGCTGGAATTACAGGTGTATGCTACCACACCCAAAGTTTTTCTTTTTGTTTTTTTGTTTTGTTTTGTTTTGTTTGTTTTTGAGCAGCATGAAGCTTTTTAGATTGAAAGGTTATAGGTTACACTTACTGAAAGACAGAGGTCCTGTTAATCAGTGTCCATTACAAAGCTGGTCTGACGCAGAGAGCGCGGGATGTCTGGGCTCTCCACTTGCACAGATATTTTGGATACTCTGTACAGCCTGGAAGAACAGGTCTCAACATCCCTGTGTTAAGCAAGCTGCTATCTCAAGAAATTTTATCCAGGAAACATCAAAAAGTGAACATTTTCCCCACCGTTTTCTCCTCAATCAAGAAGGAATAATTCAGCCAAAGTTCATGATGATTTTGTTCTATGGGTTATCTGTCATCTTGGGTACTCCGCTGGCATGAAGCTCCCACATGGGAGGAGGCTGGAGAGAAACAGTTTGAAGGTCCTCAAGAGGAGACAGTATCAGAGCTGCAGTGTCCTGGCCAGAAGTACAAGGAGATCCATCCAGCAGCTTCAGCACTGGCAGTAGCGCTCAAACACTCTTCTCAGAACTGTGAATCCATAAGCAGTACTGACGCTGGGTACTCTGGGCCACACTTCCCCATCTCTAGAGGATCTGACTTCCAAAACAGGTGCAATGTTTATTTTTATTTTTATTTTGAGACAGAGTCTCACTGTGTAGCCCAGGCTTACCTTGAACTCACAGTAATCTTCCTGCCTCAAATTCTTGAGTGCTGGGATTACAGACTGCCCGGCTATCATCCTTTACAGATCCCCTTCACCCTGTCGGTTACCTTAGTAACCCACAGGCTGGCAGCAGAGGTGTGTACCAAAACACTGGCAGAACTAGAGACTGGTTTTGGGTCTGCTGCCTTTGTCAGGCCCCTTTTGAGATCTGAGAAGAAAAAAGGGAAGCTTCCTTTCTTAGGAAGGGTGGAGATGGACTGTTACCATAACAGCCACTTACTAGCAATGAAAAGGATTAAAAACTTTAATAATTAAAGTCCTGTTGAAGGCATTGGGCAACTGGTCAAAAAGCTATAGGTCGGAGGAGATGGCCTGGTCAAAGCTGCAACTGTAAACATATGATTTTTTTTTTTTTTTTTTGAGAAAGGGTCTTGCTATTTAGTGTAGCTTGACCTTGAACTCACTATGTAGCCGAGGCTGGCTTAAAATCTCACAATCCTCCTGCCTCAGCCTCCTGAGAGCTGGGATTACAGCTGTGTGCTACCATGCCCAGTAAACATATCATTCTGAACTCAATCTAGGTGCTGTGGGATGTGTGACATGCTAAATGAAAAAGGCCTTCTTTAGATAATCTCATTTGCTCCAGATCCTCAATGTCTCTGCATAAAAAGCTAAATCTCTCACTGACTGCATGGTTTCTTTCTGTCACTGGGCCGGATCTGAGCGGTCCCAAAGTTGGACTAAGGAATTTAAGCTGGCCTTCTGGAGAATAAGTTTGTAGACCTACTAACTCCCCTCTCAGAAAAAGAACTTCTAGGACATGTCGGTAAGGGGAATGGGGAGAGTTTACTAGGCAAAGACTTTTAGGACATGCTTGAGGGAAGTGCAGGTGCCTGGGGAAATGAGATGCATTGTTTTTTTGTTTTTTGTTTTTGAAGAAGGAACTTTATGCCTCTCTCAAGGGTGGAAACCACAGAAGAAAGTGGCCCACTCCCAGAAGGGAAATGGCCCATTTAATAGGTATGGGCAGTTTTACAGGTTGTTTTTTTTTTTTTTTTTTTTTTTTTTTCTGACTAGGTAATTTAAAAATTCTTTGGGTTCTCCCAACCTGTATTTTAGGATCAGGTTTCTGCTCTTTCTCAACTAGTTAATTTATGGACTTTTAGTTTCCTGAGGAATTTTGTGCATGAAGCTGTCAAAGGAGGATGATATAGGTCACAGTGGGTAAACTGGCTGGGACCTGGAAGTTGCAGCATTCTTGAAAGTATAATTTTGAGTTATAATTTTATCGTCTCCTTTCTACTCATCTTTTATTTCTTCGGTGCTCCCTTACCCCTTGTCTTTTCTACATCCCCTGTCTATCAGTAAATTCCTTCACTGGCCTTCCTTTGGCATCACACAAATCAGTGACCGCTCCTATTCCAGGCATTGGAGTGGGATTATTTTTAGGATCTGATTTGGAAAAGTGAAAATGCTTCTTGCTTGTTTTATAAGATCTGCCTGATCTGATTTCCAGCGAGTTATTCATTAACTTACTTACCAATTACTCATTGCAAACTTGCCTGGGGATGGCAGGGCTGGGGATGGCAGTCCATTAAAAGTAGTGTTTGTCAAATTGTGAATTTGAATGTTAGTGGGATGTGAAATCACAACAGAAGTTGAAAAAAAGAAAAAGGAAGATGGGAAGAAAAAGAAAACGACAACAACAACAACAACAAAAAAAAAACCAGAAAAAAATAGGGGAGCATAAAGGATGGTTTTAAGTCATAAAATTTTGTTTTAGTTATATATACATAAATGTGTGTGCTGGGTTCTGATTTAAAGTGTACTGTTTCACAGTGAGGTTGTGTGCACTGTTAGCTACTTGGGAGACAGGCAGGAAGCTCTTGAGTTTGAGGTCAGATTGGTCAATTTAATGAGACCTTATCTCTAAAATACTACTGTGGATTTGGTCCAAAAAGGTTGCAAGCCCCTGCATTAGAAGGTAAGCTTTAGCTGGGGCTGTGGCTCAGTGGTAGAGCACTTGCCTAGTATGTGTGAGGCTCTGGGTTCAATTCCCAGTATCATAAGCAAACAAACAAACAAAACCCAAATAAACATACCTCAAGTCTTTCCCCTTGGAAGGTAAGCTTTGGCACAGCAAGTGTTTCGTTTGCCTCAAGAATATTAGCGTCAGAAAAAGAGAAGAAAGTCAATGTCATAGGCTTTATACTAACAATGTTTGTTCGAGTTAAACTAATAATGTGGCTGGGTGTTAGTGGTACCCACCTGCAATCCCAGCATCTTAGGTGGGTGAGGTGGAAGGATCCCAAAATTGATCACCAGTTTAAACAATTTAGTGAGACCCTGTGTCTCAAAGCGAAAAGGAGGCAGGAGTGTGCCTTAGCAGAAGACTGTAGTCTCTATCCCCTTACAGGAAAAAAAAATTAATAATTTGAATATATTGAAAAAAAGCAAAACAACTTTAAAAACCTCCCAACACAGACTTGGAAATCAGACATTTTACTTATGTGAGGCAATGTGCATTAATAAGAAAAAAACAGGGGCTAGGGATTTAGCCCAACAGCATAAGTGCCTGCCTGGCAAGAGTGAGGTCTTGAGTTTGATCCCTAGTACAAAAACAACAAAAACAACAACAAACCAATAGCAACAGAACAAAATAAAAGCACTGACCTGGGAAGTGGGTGCCAGAACATAAAACCCAATTCTGTAATCTGTTTAACTGTGTGACTTGAAGAAAATCTCTTCTGAACAATGCTCTTAATTTGAAAAACAGGAGGAATGCCTGAACAAGCCCTGCTTTCAACACCACACTACTCTGAAGACTAGATAGGATTCTGCATTTTAGGGTGCTCTGCAAACTGAGATAGAGCACTGGAGACAGAAGGGAATGACAAGCTGAAGCAAGTATGGATCTTTTTCTGTGGTTTAATAAATCAATCAGCAAATATTTATCAAGATTCTAATGTTTACTGGGAGCTTTTCTCTCCAAAGCTCCCGCTAGCCCCTTACTGTGGATGAACCTGGGGGAGTTCTCCCACTGAACTCCTTTTTATTTATTTATTTTTTATTTTATTTACTGAATGCCTTTTTATTTTTTGAGACAGGATCTTGAAAAGCTGGCCTGGAATTTGCAATCCTCCTGCCTCAGCCTCCCTCAGTGCTGGGATTATAGGTGTGTGCCATCAACCCTTGCTAGAGTGCTTCATTCTTAAAATGCTTTTGTATTTACTTTTACTGCAATGGACAGTGTAAACTCCACAGGCATACACTGTTGGGCTTGTTTTGTTTTTTGAGACAGGATTTTGCTATGGTCAGGCTGGCCTTGACCTCACTATGTAGACCAAAATGATCTCAAATTTTTAGGGATCACCCTGCTGGGATTATAAGTGTGGGGTACCACTCTTAGCTAGTTTTTCTTTGCTTAACTCTGTCTCCATATTTATAGGTAGCGGGTGCTTAGCAATTGTGCTGTTTGGACCAAGTTCTTTACTACCGAGCCACAGTCCCAGCCCTTTTCATTTTTTACCTTGATACAGAGTCTTGCTGTGTTGCCCAGGTTTAAATCTAAAATCTTTTTTGCCTCAGCCTTCTAAGTAGCTGGGATTATAGGTGTGCACTACCTGGCTTCAGCAGGTATTTTTGAATGAAGAAAGGGAAAAAACTTCATTGCTACTGTAAAGGATGTCATCTTTCATCATAAGGATGAGGCGATGAAAAGAGAAAAGATGTGTCCACAGGCACACATTCAGGTCATATGTAACAGGGGCTAAAAGAAGGGCAGGGTCACACGTACTCTAGAACTATGTCAGCTTTGGTGCCAGCTGTTTTGGATGGCACAGCAAAACACAATCTACTCCTTACGTGATAGCCTGTCACTGGGACACACAGGCAGTAAAGGTCAAAGTCTTTTTCGGGAAAAGACAGAAACTGGACTGGCAGAATAAATCTTTACGGAGCCGAAGCTTAAATTGAACTTGGGCATGTGAAGAGCGAGAGGTACCAAGATTTGGACAGTATATTTTCAGTAGTTTGGAAAATTTCCAAAAATCTGTGTCCCTCGAGAAAGATTCCCAAAGTGAGCTGATCCAGGGTTAATGACTGTCGAGTGTTGGTGAGAAAAGGTTTTAGGGTATCATTTCATCCTTCTGGCTCCAAAAGCCCAATAGAGAAAACCTGTCAAAAGACAGCCCGTTCCGGCACCACCACTTTCGGTTTCCCCCAGTAGAGGGGCAGAGCGGAGGGCGGAGAACAAGAATAAGGGGCGTGGCCAGCGCAATTGGCAGGAACACGCGGGCCCTCTTCGCAGCGACAGGAAGCCAAACGGGGGGCGGGGTTTCCGGTGGCAGCAGCACTCGGGCGTCCGATGACGCCAGGCGAGGAGCACCGTCACGTGACACGGAAGTGACTCCGAACAGGAAGAGGACGGAAAAAATAACCGTCCGCGACGCCGAGTCGAACAGGACCCGCAGACACCATGAACAGCAAAGGCAAGGACGGGGAGCGGCAGAGGCCATCGGGGAAGTAGTGTTGGCCTTGGGCGCGCGGGTTCGGAACCCAGGTTAACCCCGCGCCAGGCTTGGCAGGGGCTGCGCCGCACCCCTCGGCCAGCCGGGGTGTGGGGGTGCACTTGGCGTCCTCGGCCTCTTGTAACTACGGCTGCTTGCTGCCTCCCGGCCCTTTCCCTCTTAAACTCTGTGGCGCAGTTTGGCGCTGCGGAGTTGGGGGTGTGTGGGGGGGCCTTGTCATGATGGACATCTGCGGGAGCAAATGGAGGACTAGAGCAGGGATTTGGGTGGGCCAATGGAGAGCCGGCAGAGGCGGGGCGCCGCGCTCGGGTACTGCGGGCCGGGCCGGAGTTTAACTAGTGTGCTGCTGGCTGCGTCGGTGGACCGTCCGGGGCCTGCAAGGTCTTTTCCCTGTGCCCTTCACGCTTCTAGCCTTTCGCGGGCGGAGCTCGAACTTCCTCCCGTTCTTGTGATTGTGCCAAAGTAGGATTGTCTCGCCCTTTCCCTGGGCTGGTTTACTCCCCATTCTCCCACTATTGGGAAGTCGACCTTGAATAAGAAACCGCGAGGTAAATAATTAGAACCATCGTTACTCACAGTCAGGGTTGGTGACACCTTGGCCAGTGGAGACTACCTGGAACGGAGGCATCCTAGATACAACAGCAAAGGAGCCGTCTTACATGTCAGAATTTGGCCCAGCTAGACGTCCCCTTACAGTATACCACAGTGGAAACAGCGCCTTTCTTGCCCAATCAGAACCCAGCACCTTCCATTATAAGGGTAGAAGAACAATGGTTATTTTCTTGGTACCAAAAAACTGCCATGCAGGGCTGTTTGCAAATCTCCTCACTCCCACCAAGTTAGCTACCCAGATATTTTGCCCATTTTGGTGTCTATAGTGGTGGGCAACCTGAATTTTTTGTCTTCTAGGTCAATATCCAACGCAGCCAACCTACCCTGTGCAGCCTCCTGGGAATCCAGTCTATCCTCAGACCTTGCATCTTCCTCAGGCTCCACCCTATACTGATGCGCCGCCTGCCTATTCAGAGGTGCTGCCTGTTTGGCAAAGTTGAACTAGTTAAGAATACTCTTGGACCACATTTTACATCTTTAGCTAACTCTGACTTCTTAAACAGAAAATGATCAGAGGAATAATGTAAAACATGTAATGCAGAAATTTGTTGGACTCAAGAATGCATTCTCTGTTTTTTGGCACAGGCTGAGGTTAAGATGAGTTTGTCTGGAGTCTGACATTAGGTCTAGCAGGAAATGAACTAGGAGAATACTGAATGCCAGTGGAAAGACACTTGAATAATGCACAAAGTATAATCTACTAGGAGAATTAGGAATTGACTTAGCCTGGGTGTGGTGGTATACACCTGTTATCCCAGCCATGGGAGGGTGAGGCAGGAGGTCACAAGTTCAAGATAGGTCTGGGAAACTTGGTGAGACTCTTATCTCAAAGTAATTTTTAAAAATATGTTTAAAGGATGTAGTTCAGTGATTGAGTGCTTATGTAGCATCTGTGATGTCCTAGTTTCAATTCTCAGCAGCACAAAGAAAAGACTGACTCATTGAAGAGATTTCAAGTAGGAAACAAAATAACTCTTGCCTTCTTTTTCACCTTTTTAGCTCTATCGTCCAAGCTTTGTGCACCCAGGGGCTGCCACAGTCCCTACCATGTCAGCTGCATTTCCTGGCGCCTCTCTGTATCTTCCTATGGCCCAGTCTGTGGCTGTTGGGCCATTAGGTTCCACAATTCCCATGGCTTATTATCCAGTTGGTCCCATCTATCCTCCTGGTTCAACAGTGCTGGTGGAAGGAGGATATGATGCAGGTGCCAGATTTGGAGCTGGGGCTACTGCTGGCAACATTCCTGTGAGTATGCCCTCAAGAAACTCGGCCCTTGTGTGTTTTCACTTTCTGAAATGATTTTATATTCATTCTCCCACCATCCCTGGAAAACAGTTGTCAATTTTGGTACAACAGCTGCCATCTAATAAACAGAAAGTGGCTGAGGGGACAGGAGAACTATGGCATTGTATAGCACTAGCACATTCCCTGGGGTCCAAGTCAACCAGATTGCTTTGTCAGTTGTGCTTGCTGTTTTTCCAGTTCATTTTGATACAGTGAACAACTGGTCTAGTAATGTTCCCTATTCATTCTGTAAGCATTTACTTAATATTTCATCAGCGTGGTATTGTATTTGGATACCAGATGATTAAAAACATAGAACCATAGTCCCTAGTACTTAGCTTTTTGGTTATTGTTGCCTTGTGCTTAGTTCCCCAGTGCATGGGACAGAAGAGTTCACACAGTCTTTGCTAAGGCCATCTACTCAGAACTATACATTAGAGAAGTTTGTGAGCTTTAGGTAATTCGATGTTCTGTATTAAGAGGATCCAGAGTGGGGCTGGGGATTTAGCTCAGCGGCATAAGCACCTGCCTTGCAAGCAGGCTGTTGTGAGTTCGATCTCCGGTACCCACCCATTTAAAAAAAAGAGTATCCAGAGGGCTTGGTGGCAGTGTGTGTTTAACATGTAAAGCTGCTCTCCCAAAATAAAACACCAGATTATCTAGGAATCCTCTGGGATTTGGCCACAGACCTGACACATTGTTCCTGTTTAGGGAGTGTGAGTGGGAGTTTTTTCTGTTCTGAAAATGTGTTTTGATTCCACGCATAGGCTTTATCTTGGAGCTAGAACCTTTTGAATGAGTGATAGGCTCCCTTTCTTTTTTGTGCCTTGTGTTCACAGAGCAAATATACTTGCTTTAAAACCCAAATTGGTGGCAGAACCAGCTCCTTAAAATGCTGTTGGTCATGCTTTGCCATCTTTCTAATAGCATCTGCTTTACCTGTATTCCCTTCCCTTGGTCAGCTGCCCTGTGCCCATTCTACCTTGTCCTTCCTTTCAGCCTCCGCCTCCTGGATGCCCTCCCAATGCTGCTCAGCTTGCAGTCATGCAGGGAGCCAATGTCCTCGTAACTCAGCGGAAGGGAAACTTCTTCATGGGTGGCTCAGATGGTGGCTACACCATCTGGTGAAGAACCAGCGCCGCCTCTGTGCCAGGAAAGACATCACATACCTTCAGCACTTCTCACAATGTAACTGCTTTAGTCATATTAACCTGAAATTGCAGTTTAGACACATGTTGTTGGGGTGTCTTTCTGGTGCCCAAACTTCAGGCACTTTTCAAATTTAATAAGGAACCATGTAATGGTAGCAGTACCTCCCTAAAGCATTTTGAGGTAGGGGAGGGTATCCATTCATAAAATGAATGTGGGTGAAGCAGCCCTAAGGATCTTCCTTTAATTCCTCTGGAGTAATACTGTACCATACTGGTCTTTGCTTTTAGTAATAAAACATCAAATTAGGTTTGGAGGGAACTTTGATCTTCCTAAGAATTAAAGTTGCCAAATTATTCTGATTGGTCTTTAATCTTTCAATCTTTGATTTATATTACTTGTTAAATGCATTAGCTGTCTGCCTTTTCCTTTCCATCTTTTGCCCCACGTGCTGTCTCCAACCTTAGTCTTCCATTCCCTCCTGCCAGTCTCCATTGAATCAGTGGTGCAGGACAGAAAGCCAGTCAGTCATTTCCTTCTCTCCTTGCACTTCTACCCACTTGCCATCTTTTAACTTGTCTTTCATAAGGATCCTCTGAAACCTCCATGTGTCCCAACCACAGGCCCCATTATGCCTGCTTTTCTATATCCTCAGGCAAATGTAGAGGGTGCTTTTGGACCCTCTTTATAGGTTGTTTCTGCATATACAAACCTAACCCATATTTGCTTCGGTGCCAGAAAAACTGAGCTTTGTTTTAACAGAACAGTACCAGTGCAAAATGTCCAATAAAAGTGTGTTTAAAATGAGGGGCAAGGAGGAGGATGCATTTCAAAAGCTTGACTTCAGAACCAAATTAAGAGGAGTTTTCAGATCAAAAACTGGTTATCATTTTTTTGACAGCATGTCTGATGTAACCACTCATGGCTCCCAAGAATTCCGAAGCTGGGTGATTAGGGTCATATGGTGAATGCTTCACTAATAAGATGACTTGAGTCCAGTAGGATCTCATTAGGGTTAAGAATATTTCAGGGATCCTTAATATTTTGATTTGTGTTTTCTGAAATTGGATTTTATTTTATCTTATAACTTCAGTTCATCTAAATTTTGTGTTCTGTACATGTGATGTTTGACTGTACCATTGACTGTTATGGAAGTTCAGCGTTGTATGTCTCTCTCTACACTGTGGTGCACTTAACTTGTGGATTTTTTATACTAAAAATGTAGAATAAAGACTATTTTGAAGATTTGAATAAAGTGATGAAGTTGCATTACACCTCACTCCAAGGATTCTTTACTTAGCTTGTTTTTAGATTTCTTTGCTATTTTTGTATATATTCAACCTAGAACTCTGCTAGGTGTTACTGCTCTTCTGTTTTAATGAAAGCTTTGAAATGGCAGGAATACAAGACCAAGATTTGACTATTTTCATGAGTGCCACTTTAGATGCAACACTTTTTTTCACTTTACTGCCTAAACTTAGATTCTGGAACTCAGAATTTAAAATAAGAAGGGAACAATTGGCTCCCTTCCCTAGCTCTAGAGTTTGGATTGAGAAATAGTATAGCAGCCTGTATGCATCTGGAGAGACTTTGCAAAATTCTGTGTGGGGAGAAATACTGAAAACTCCTAGAATTCCCAACTCCTGGGTTTTACCTTGTGTGCGCTAGAGCTGGGACAATGAAGACAATACAGTAAGGTCTTGAAGATAGCTTAATTCAAAAGTAAATGATATCTGAGGAGCCAACAGTTTATGTTTTAAGTACTGGACCTTTTAAACATACCTTACTTTGAGGCTAAGTTAAATCCTACGTATTTCTTGGACCGATTTCAAGGATACTGGTAGGAGAAGGCAGATTTTTCCTGGTTTCCTCTGAGTGTACATATGGAATCTGGGAAATTTTGGCCCCCACCTGGACTGAGGCTAAACCAGTTTATCTCCCAGGATGCTTCTAATGAGGCTGTTCTGGGGCCAGCTTCCTGACCCATCTTCATCTCAAACTGCTGAGACAGTGCTGGGAACTCATGGAGCTTCCCTACGGTTCTTGCTGCTTGGGAGAAAACAGGCGCAAAGGAGTTAACAAATGTCAAAATCTAAGCAAGTCAAAGTATAAAGGTAGTTACTTCTTGTACCTAAAAGTCTAACTTATGTATCAGTGAAAAAGTTTAATTTGTGTTACTAGCACAAGTATGAGGTTGTTGGGAAGGAAGGGCTCAGATTAAGGGATATAGCACATTGATCAGGAGGTAAGAATCCAGAGTCTCCTATCCCTTGGGGCCTGGCCTTTTACTGTGCTATTTAGTCTCTGGGATGAACTTATATAGATGTTTTATTCTGGCCCTACAACTAGACGACCACAAAGGGGACAGAGTAGAGCAGTAGCCAGTGACCCTCATTCTTTTCCTATGAAGGCACATACTCAAGTGTTCCCTGGTACAGCCCCACTTGTTGGCTAGTCACAGACACTAGTTCTTTTCCAAAGGCCTACCCACATCATAAGCAGCTTCTGGCCCCTGGAGTCAGTGATGCTGGCATTTGGGCCTGTGTCTTGGAAGGAGCTTGGATTTTTCTGCTTCAATCAGTGTCACTCACTGGATTCAGATAAAACTTTGAGCTAATAAATTAAACAGTCACTGTATTAGCATTGGAGCCAGGACTTAGTTCCAACAGGCCTGGTAATTACTAGATGAAATACTCCTCCTTCTCTCTGTCCTTGGCCGAGTCACTCTCCATCTGGAGGATGGCGCTGGGCTCGCTTTCTGTAGGTTCATAGGTGACGTAGCTGCCTTTGTTCTTGTACAGGTAAAAGAAGATCAAGATCACGACCGAGAGCAGGGTGAGGAAGACTATGGTGATAACAACTTGGAAAGGAGAGGGAAAATGGAGACATGTTTCAGGATTGAGATCTCAGGAATTTTTTGGGTCACCTGAATTAGAAAATTTCCTTACTCTCCAAAAGGATTCTCTTGTTTTTAGTTAATTTGCATCCACTTCAAATCCATGTTCCCTCAGCAAGCTTCCATGATACATGGTATCTAAAGTCTCCTGGTACTTAAGCTAAGGACACAAAGCTTTTGATTTCTGACAAAACAACTCCCTCCCAAATGATTTCCTGACACTTACGATAGAATGGGAAATAAGCAGCAGTTTATCTAAACAGGAAAGGGTGTTTTTAAGTTCCTAGCTTCCTGTAGCAATTTCTCTCATCCTCCCCCTCTTCCTCACCACCCAACAAACCACATATATCCTCATCCCTACCCACACTGGAGTGTAGTGTCCATATGCACCAATACCTATTTTTAGTCACCTCCCAACCTATCATTTACTGGTGGTGCAGAAGCTGAGTCTTCCAGAGCAGTGCATGTATATGTGCAGAACCTATGTGCCAAAGTAAGCCCATGAATGGATTTGGTTTCCAACGTTGTGATTTTCCAGTTGGGGGAAAATCTGTAGTTTACCACACTGCATTCTAGTTGTCGCTGGAACAAGAAAGCCCCTACTCCTGGGGGTCCCTGGGATTTGGCTCTCTTTGTTACCTGCAATGAGTGCTGTGCTGGCTTCTTCAGCTTCTGGGGACAGGGTCTCAGTGGCCTGCAGAAGTGGAGGAGTCATCAGCTCTTCTGGAAAGTTTAGAAGAGTGGAAAAGGAAATGGGAATGAATTCTTTTATCCTAAAGCATACTTTTGTTCTAAAATTTCATCACATCTTTTTCCCTACTCAAAAGTTTAATGTTCAGTTCCTACAGAAAATGCAAAAAAAATCCTAGAGAATGGAAGAGAAAAACTACTTCCCAAAGACAATGACTACTATGATAATTTATTTCTTTATAATATAGTGGCCCACTGCCTGTAATCCCAGATTCTTGGGAGGCTAGATGGCAGATCTCAAGTTCAAGGCTAGCCTTGGCAACTCAGATACTGTCTCAAAGAAAAGGGATGGGGCTGCAGTTCAGTGGTAGCATGTTCTCCACCCCCTCAAAAATAAAAAAAATGTACTGATTTTTTGAGCCTGACTGCGTTTCAAATGTGAGCTCTGTCCTTTACTAACTGAACTCGGGAAACTACCCGACTCCACTAAGTATCAGTTATCTCATCTGCAAAAGGGAGATAAGAGTATCTACTTTATAAGGGTTGTTGCAACATAGTAACAGGATAAGTCATCAGAAATGTGTATTTTTACATAAATGGTGAGTACATATAATTACATGTATATATATCATATACATTATATCATGCATTTTCTTTAGTGTTCTTACTCTATAAACATTTTTTTTTTTATCGGTACCAGGTACTCATGACCACCTGCTTGCAAGGCAGGTGCTTATGCCGCTGAGCCAAAGCCCCAGCCCCTATAAACATTATTTTTAAGTAATATTCCTCTCCTATCAAAAGTCCTTTTCTCTACTTTCAAGATAGACTTTATAGTTTGAAAGGCTAGAAATGAGGCCCTTCCTGTAGGGGTCTATCTATTCTTGAGAATAAGTGATTCCACAGGAAGTCAGGACACTCTTAATTCTTTCATAATTAGCATTTTAACGTAATGGTTGGGAAGGTAACTTTTTTTTTTTTTGAGACAGTAGTTCAGGTTGGCCTGGAATTCACTAGCCTAGGCTGGCCTTAAACTTGTGGCCATCCTTCTGCTTCAGTCTAAGTGCTGAGATTACAGACATGCACCACTACCTTCTGGCTGACCCAGAGTTTTTTTACAGGTCCTCATTTTGCCTTCCTTAAACATTTGAGAATTTAATCTATATAAAATACTGAAAAGATCAATGCATGACAAAAGCTTAAATATGCTGAAAAGTTCAATTAATTTCAGTTCAATTAATTGACAGCAATCAGACTTGCAACCATTTCAACCATCATGTGCCAGGCACACTGACTTCTTAGATGCAAGAGGCCTCTGTGATGAGGTTAACCAGCAATCTGACCATGGAGTCGAGTTTTAGTGTGGATCAGAATGCAGATACACAGGAGTCACAAAGAATCTGGGAGGGAAGATGATTCCTAGTTGGGAAATTCTGAAAATGACCCCAGTTATAACAGCTGTCATTTAGTAAATCTGACTAATGCCAGATGCTTCATATACATCACTACTCATCTTTACAACACCAATTACTTCAAAGTGAGTGTTTTTTCTTGCTGATGTGGAACCTGAGGCCCAAGTAACATGACTCATATGACACATGAAGTATTAGTGGATAGGCCAAGATATGAATCTAGGACTACCTGTCCAAAGCCCAAGCTTTTCTTTTTCAATAAGGAAAAGGAGGAAAAGCTAATAAAAGATAACATGAGGAAACATAGCGAGCTCTCCAAGAGGTTCAAGGGTTGCTAGGCTTGGTGGAACAGCTCTGTAATCCCAGATACTTGGAAAAATTGAGACAGGAAGATTACATGTTTAAGGCCAGACTGGGAAACTTAGCAAGGCCCTGTATGTACATATGTATAGATGTACATATGTATGTATGTATGTATGTATGTATAAGTAAGTACATAAATAAATGGTGCTAAGAATGTAGCTTAGTGATAAGAATGCTTGCCTAGCATGCACAAAGTTCTGGGTTCAATCTCCAGTACTACAAAATCAAAAAACAAATTCAAAGGTTTAAAAGATGGATTCAAGTAAAAGAAAAGCCAGGTGACCACAGTCAAATACAAAGACTGCTCATTTAATGTGAACTTGCTCATGTGCCATTGGTCAAAGGGGGTAAAGACAACAGTATAATATGGAATTCATGTCTGTTCATAGGAAACTTCCTCAGCTTTAATCTCTGATTTGGTTAGAGGCACATCTTCTCACAACTAGAGAAAAGTAACAATATAGGAAGACCTTATGAAAATTCAATAGAATACTGTCTTTGGATGTAGTTACTGTTTGGTTTCACTAAAAACCATCTCATGAAGCAACATGTGCAAATGACAAAAGTACAAAGAAATTCACCTCAATATTAAAACAATGGACGAGTGAAGATGATGGACCTTACCTTAGATTTTAATTTCTGATGAAGATGCTCCCTATTAGAAGTAAAGGCTCACTAGAATTTATTAGAGGAAGTACATGCCCCAGGGTATAAGCTGCAAATTCAAGGTTCAAATGCTAGTGGAGATTTAACTCTGCCAATATTTTTATTAAAGTTGTTACTGTAATTATAGGGATTCTGTTATAAAACTTTGTAAGTATTGTATGGTCTGCTCCAATCTTCTTTATTCTGTAGGCTCTTCTAGTCTCACTAATGTGATTTCAAGAATGTTAGTCTTTTCAAAATGCACGTAAAGTTTTCTAGCCAAAATGCCTATGTTAAAGGCTGCCAAAGACTTTTAGAAGAATAGTGTTGGGAAGCTCTATGCAGCTCACTTTGGCAAATAAACATGAAAGACAATTTTAAAATTTTTATATTTGGAATAAGAACAAGGCTTGATCTTTAGACTTGAAGGTGCCAGGCTGGAGAAAATGGAAAAGTTCCCGGTGCTTTTGGCCTCTGCCTCTCAGGAGCAGCAGGAGCATTTGGGACACAGGGAAGTAAGCTCAAGAAGTGAGAAGCACTGGATAATTTAAAAGGCATCCAGATAAATGTCAGCCAAGGGGGATAATAACTTGTAAATGGGACCTCTGTTGGAAATACAGGCACTTCTAAGGAAGGAGACGGGCCAGGTGCCCAAAGGGCAATGGAAAGAATATAAATTCTACAAAAAGCTGGTGAGCTTGATGGGGTTCCCCAGAAAATCCTAGCTTACGGGCCCGTTTAGGGGGCCTTGAACTCAAAAGAGCAAGCATTAGGAGTCAGTGTGGGACCACTAAGCATAAGCTTGGACAGAGAGAAAAATCAAAAAGTTAATTCAGTGCTAGGCATGGTAGTACACACCTGTTATCTAGCATTGGGAAGCTAAGACAGGAAATTGCCTCAAATTTGAGTGCAGCCTGGGCTATGTAAGTTTAGGGCCAGCCTGAACTACATAGCAAGATTCTGTCTCAAAAAAAATAAAACAAGTTAATTCAACAAGTATTCACTGAATATGTACTCTGTTAGGCCCAAGGCACAAATCAGTGAACAAAAGAACAAAACCTCTTATCTTCACAGTTCTACAAAATAAATAAAATTACTATATGATCCAACAATCCTATTTCTCGGTATATATTCAAAATGAAAGAATAGGACTCAAACTGATATTTGTTTATCAATGTACATAGTAGCATAATTTATAATACAAAAAGGTAGAGCAACCCAAGTGTCCAATAACAGATGAAGGAAAAACAAAACGTGGCATACATATACAGTAGAATATTATTCAGCCTTAAGAGGCAAGTTCTAACATATGCTACAGTGAGGATGAACCTGCAAGACATTAAGCTCAGTAGAATAAAACAGGCATGAAAGAGCAAATATTATATACTTTTAATTTTACTGATTACCTAGGCAGAGATGGCGAACTTTTTAGAACTTTCAACGATACCAACAGCCTGCTGTGGCACATGTGCCATAGGCTGGCCACCGCTGACCTACATCAATCAAATTCATAGAGACAGAAAGCAGTATGGAGGGTACCAGGGTCTGGGAGAGGGGGACATTGGCAAATTAACACTTAATGGGCACAGAGTTTCAGTTTGGTATAATAAAAAGAGTTGGAATAGTCAATGGTGACAGTGAATGTACTTAATGTACTGGACTGTATGTTTAAAATGGGGCTGGGGCTGTAGCTCAGTGGTACAGCACTTGGCTAGCATGCACAAGGTCCTGCATTCAATCCCCAGATACACACACACACACACACACACACACACACACACACAGCTCCTAGGATAGCCAAATGTAGAGCTAGAAACCATTTCTACTTCTAGTCCTGCCTACAGAAGAGCAAAAAACAGAATCTAATCGGAGGTTGCTAACCTAGAACACTATTTAAACATCTTCTACAGAACAGACCAGCATTCTGTTTTTTAAAAAGTGATGAAAGCAGCCAGGCATGAGGGCACAGCCCTGTAATTCCCAATACTCCTGGACAGTGGAGGAGGACTGCAAATTTTAAGCCTAGCCTGGGCAATTTAAATACTTAACAAGACTATACCTCAAAAAAAGAGGTTGTGTGTGTGGAGGGGACATAGCTTAGTGCAAAGTTTAATCCTCAGTATACACACAGAATAAAGCTTGGTGCCAGCGTAGTGGGGCACACCTGATATCCCAGCACTTGGGAGATTGAGGCAGAAGGATTGCCGGGAATTCGAGGCCACATTGGACTATATACTCATACAAGGTCAACCTGAACTAGTCTCAAAAAACAAAACAAAACAAAAGTAAAGCTTGGAGGAGGAAATCTTGTACTTTTGGGGTCTATAGAACCATATCCAGTTGCCTAGTAATTTAATGCCTAGGTAAGAGTATGTACCTTTCCAGGATGGGCAGAAGAGAAAAACAAACGGGGAGGACAATAGTTAATTGCACTGAACAAACAGCAGACAGGAAATGACCTTGATTGGTTTTGTGGACACTGTTAGGGCACTGGAGACTCTGGGGATGACAGTAGTGACAGCTCTGTTAATGCCAGAGCTAAAGGTGATGACAGCAATATGACCTACTGAATATGTGACTAGAGAGGGATGTCATATAAGGAGAATATAGAAG